CTCTCTTCGTGCCACAGGGCGATTATGGCGGACCACTGGCTTGCCTCACTGCTGACTGCTGGGTGCTGGAGGGGGTGATCACCCCCTCCCGTGTCTGTGCCCGCACTGACCTGCCCGCCCTCTTCATCCGTGTTTCCCTCTACGTTGACTGGATCTCCAAGGTGATGAAGATGGGTTGAGCTGGCATTCCCAGCCTGGCACAGCTGCCACTGCACAATAAAGGCACAGCCTTGGCCAGAGGGGTTGGCACTGCACAGGGCCTCATGTTTATTTAACACCAAACCCCAACCCACATCCCTGCCCCTGGCTACACTCACTCCATCTGTCTCTGGTCCTGGTGTGGTCCCCAGGGCCAGCAGTCACTCTGGGGCTGGCATAGCCCAGGACCACTGTGGGCACTATGGGCTGTGCTGGCCTGTCCCATCCTGCCTGGGCTGCCCCAGGTGCTGGAGGAGCCAGTGGGCACAGTTCTTGAAGACATCAGCCTCTGTCTCCACACCAGCCAGTGCATGGCCACCCTCTGGGTACCACAGCAGCCTGTGGGGAGGGACAGGATGAAAAGATGCTCATCCAGCACTCCAGAGCTCCCTCCTGGCTCCCACCTGCACCCCACTCACCGTGCCGGCACACCCCTGGCCCGCAGCACCCGGTACAGCTCCAGTGCCTGCGTGGGGCTGACGCGCCGGTCCCGGGCACCCACGCACAGCAACACCGGTGTCTGCACCTGCAGCACTGCCCTCAGTGGGTGTCTGACACCCCACACCTGGCACGCCGCACCCATGCTGACCCTGCTTACCTGGGCTGCCTGGGCGATGGGCGAGCGCAGTAGCATGGCGGTCACATCCTCAGCACATGGCACCCGCTCAAAGGAGTAGGGCAGCCCCAGGGAGGTGTAGCGCCTGCAGCACAGAGACACTGGTGGGTATCACAGGGACATGGCATGGCATGGCACAGGATGGGCACGGCACTCACCAGTCAGGGATGTCAGAGGTGCCCAGCAGTGCGGGCAGGTTGGAGACGGGGCTGCGCAGGGCACAGGCTTGGTAACGCTCAGGCTCACGGGCGAGGAGGTGGAGGGCGATGAAGGCTCCGTGGGAGCCAGCCAGCAGGGCCAGGCGGTGTGGGTCCAGGGGCTCTCTGTGCAGCGCCTGCTCCACTGCCAGCTGCACCCGTGGGGCACCCACCATTGGCACCCAAACAGCAGCATCCTCCCAGCACCATCCTCCCAGCACCCTCAGCCCAGCACCCCTCACCTGGGTGTCTGCCACGTCCTGCTCACCCACACGGGAAAGCAGGGAGCTGATGCTGGCCTGGCCAAAGCCCAGGGAGCCACGATAGTTCACTGAGGAGACAGGGCCGTGGGTGCCATGTCTCACTGGGACACAGGGCCACATGACCTTGAGCTCCCCAGCACTCACCCAGGAGCACGGCGAAGCCCAGCCGGCACAGTGCAGCCATGCTCGGACGCCAGCGGGCATCGAAGACAGCGTGGGGGCCACCTGGGGCCAGCATGGGCATCACCTGGGGTGCCACCAGCACTGCCAGGGTGTCCCCACTGTTCCCGCACTCACCATGGGGGCACACAATGAGGGGGTGCGGTGGTGTGCCATCTGAGGGGCTCAGCAGCAGGGCCTCAAAAGCCTGAGTACCTGTGCCAGGGAAGGGGTCCCACTTAGAGGCCACCACCCTGGGCACCCAGCACCCTGCCCCCCGCCATTCCAGAGGGTTCCTGGCACCAGGCAGCACCAAGGTGCAGCAGGGGCCCCCAGGGACTCACCCTGTGCAGCGGGGCTCTGCCCACTGCAGGGTGGCTGGACCGTCAGGGTCTTCCAGGTGACACCAGGCATGGTTGGGGTGTCCTCCACTGGCACCCAGACAAGGGGCAACTCCTGGCCTGCTGGCGGCAGCACGGCCACCACCTGGGCACAGGCAATGGATGACACTGGGGCTGTGCCATGCCAAGGCTGTGACATACTGGATCTGGCTGTGCCACACCACACCATGGCGTGTGTGCCACACCGTGCTGTGCCTGGCTGCACATTGCTGTGCCGTATCCCACTGTGCCACATGGTGCCAGGGCACTGCTCACCAGGCTGGGGGGGTGGTGGGGGGCTGAGCAGGTGGCCACCAGCAGGTCCCACTGGAGAGTGAGCAGCTCCCAGCACCCTTCAGATGACCCTGGGGACAGAACACGTGCTGGTGATCATAGCTGCTCACTGGAGCACCATGGGTGGCCGCTACCATGTACCTGCGGTGAGGTTGGTGACAGTGCACGCCTCCGTATCCACGAGCAGCAGGTCCTGTGGGGGTGCAGAGCACAGGCAGCGGTGTCACCATGGGCTGTGTGGGTCACGTCCCTGGCCCGCCATCCCCTGGACTCACCGTGCGGCTCCGCTGAGGGGTGCCCAGCACGGCTCGCCGGCTGTCAGCTGCCCAGCACCGCGGTGGCAGCGCCTCTGCGTAGAGCCCAGCAAAGGCTGCAAGTGGGGCAGAGCACTGGGCTAGTGAGCCAGGGTCATGGGCACCTGGCAGGGGGTGGCACCAGCCCCCCATCAGAACCCAGCTCTGCCCACCACGCTTTGCTCACCCTCTGTGGGCTCCTGAACCACATCAAGCACTGTCATCGTCTGCCTTGTCTGCCAGGTGAGCTGGGGAGAGCTAGTGCTCAGGGATGGACCCATGCCAGGGGAAACTGAGGCAGGGAGGCTTGGGGACACCTCCACCCCAGCCAGGCACTGCGAGAGGCTGTGACACCTGGGCACCGTGCTGGCAGCACAGGGCGGCACGGCCGTGCCTGGTGCCCCTGAGGCCCAACTCACCATGCGCAGGCGCAGACACTGCCGGTGGGGCCCCCCCACAGCCCCCTCCAGGTAGAGCAGGCGCTGGCCATCAGGGCTCAGCCGGGGGGAGCAGACAGAACCATTCTCTGCTGACAGCAGCTCTGTGGGCAGCAAGGCGTCAGCATCCCAGGGATGCCGAGGCACCCCCCAGGGCCCAGCACTCACCGCAGCACCCGCTGGCCAGGTCCAAGTGGAAAATCCCTGACCTGGAAGGAAAGAGTGAGTCAGGTTGAACCCCCACTGGGCTGACACTGCATGGACATCCTGGCATGGTGCTGGTTGCTGGCTGGGACCCACCTCCTGTTGGAGCAGGCGTTCAGTCCCAGGCGGAAGGGCGTGTGCCACCAGCCCACGAACACCACACCACGGTCATCCGGGGACCACAGGGCCTGTGTGACAGTCAGGCTCATCCCACGGCCCCAGGCTGGGTCCCCTGGGGCTCTCCCTGCACCCCATCCTGACCTGGCCAGGGGAGAGGTGCTCTGGGACTCCCTCCAGCACTGACAGGCTGAGGCCCTCCAGGTCCAGGACGCAGAGGACTGGCACGCTTCGTGTGCTCAGGGCTTCTCCCCAGTCCTCATGGTACACAAATTGCTTGCCCTGTGGCACAGACCCATCAGCCCCATGGCTGGTGTCCCCAGGCATACAGCTCTGTCCATGACACACTCATGGGATGTGTGGCAACTCATGGGGTGCACAGCATGTTCAGGGGGTGTCTGGTATGCCCAAGGGGCATGTGCCATGTTCAAAGTGCACACGGCATGCTTGGGGGTGCACTGAACACACTCATGGGGCACCTACCTCCTCATCCTCATCCTCTGCTGCTGGCCAGACTGCTCCTGGCACATCCCAGGGGCAGGGGGGCTGTCGTTCGGGCCGGCTCTTCTCAGCCATATAGAGGAGCCGTGTCTCCGAGCGTGACCAGGCCAGGCAGGCAAAGGGCCCTGGCATGGCAAGAGGGTGCCAAAGCCCAGCCCGGTACAGGCACAGCTGGGCACCAGGTAGCCACCAGAGCTGTTGGCCACGCCAACCTCACCCCTGCTGTGCGCGGGGAGCACGGGAAAGGGGCCCTACCCTCCGTGTAGACGTCCCCATGCTTCCCCAGCGCCGTGAGATCCACGCTGTGGCTGCATCCCCCGCTGTCCCACACCTGGGGGGACGGATGTCAGCACCGGCACACCGTGCACACGGTGCCCACCGCCCTGCACTGGCACTCCGGCCACGCCGGCGAGCGACAGCCGCGTTACCTCCAGCAGCTCGTGGCCCTGCCGCGGGCAGCGTTTGAGCGCGGCGCGGCGCTGGCCCGTGGGCGAGTCCTGGCTGAGGAGCCTGAGGGCGGGAGGGACGGAGGCTGCGGCGGGCCGTGCGCTGTGGGCACGGGCCGCGGCACGGACACCGCCCCATCCCGCAGCCCGCCCGTGCCGTACTGGCCGTGGATCTCGGCGCTGAGCGCGGTGCGGCTGACGGCGAGGCCCTCGCGGCCGGCTGTGCGCCGCAGGCTGTAGTGGCGGCCGAAGCGCAGGAGCCGCCGGCGGGCCGGGTCGGCGCGGCTGCACTCTGAGGGACGGGACGGTCCGGTCAGCGCCCGCTCACACCGGGCCAAAGGCGCGGCCGTGGCCGAGCCCGCACTCACCGGTGTAGAGCAGGAAGGTCTGGCACCCAGCCACAGCCCTGAGGGCGGCACGGGTGACGGCAGGGAAGCGGCTCAGCTCCCGGTAGCAGGCAGCGGGGCCGCGGGCCGCCTGGATGAGGGAGGGGACATGCTGGACGGGGTAAGCTCACCCCCTGCCCGTGCCCACCGCCCGAAGCGGGGCTGTGCCCACCCACACAGTTCCCCTGAGCCCCCTTGCCCACCTCCACACCCTTCTCGGTCCCTGTGGCCATGGGGCTGTTCTCTGCCGGGCCGGGCTGCCGGCGCCTGCCGCCCGCAGTGGGACGGCTGCCAAAGCACGCAGCAGGAGCCCGGCGGCAGCGCCCCGGCCGGTGCCAGCTCTGCAGCCGCTCCCCGTGCCCCGCATGGGCAGGCAGGCTCATCCTCCCCATGGCCCAACGCAGCCCCGGCGGCACAGCCGCACATCCGGGCACTGAAAGGTCCAGTGGCCACCAGCTCCTGGAGTTCCAGGAGTGGAAATGACACCGCTACCACTAGAGACACTGGGGTGCTGGACTACATCGTTTATTGGGGGTCAGCAGCAGGGGTCAGCACCCTTAGCACTGCAGGTGCTTGAGCAGCCACAGCGCCATGTTCATGAAGCCATCAGCTTCGGCTTCGACACCAGCCAGCGCGTGGTTGTTCCCTGGGTACCAGAGCAGCCTGGAGGGGAAACAGGGATTAGTGCTGTGTCTGCACCCCACAGCTCAAGCCCTCAGCACCCCACTCACCGTGTGGGCACCCCCCGGGCCTTGAGGGCACGGTAATACTCCAGACCTTGCTTGGGGGGCACACGCCGGTCATCCTCCCCCAGCATCAGCAGCACGGGTGCACGGACCTGCAGGAGCAGCACAGCCTCAGCATTGGCACTGCTGTTGGGAACAGGGACAAGGATGGGGACAGTGACATACCCGGTCGACATAGCGTATGGGTGACTTGTGCAGCATCTCTGTCCACTGGGCTGGGTCTGGCAGGGCATCAGGTTTGTAGGGCAGCCCTGTCTCTGTCAGGCACCTGCAGGCAAGAGTCGGGGGCACGTGTGTGGCTGGGTTGGCAAGGAGCCTGGGAAGCTGGGGTAGCAGTACTCACCAGTCTGGGATGTCGGTGGTGGTCACCATGGAGGCAATGTTCACCACGGGGTTGCGGACCACACAGGCGTGGTAGGTGTCGGGGAACTGCCCGATGAGGTGGCACGCCAGGAAGCCCCCATGCGAGCCGCCGACCAGAGCCACCCGGCTAGCATCCAGCGTCTCCTCCTGCAGCACCCGCTCCACGCAGAGCTGCCGCCACGGGGAACACCCACTGAGCAGGCAGCCCCGCTTCCCCTTCTCAGGGCACCTAAAGGAGCACAGGGTGCCCCGGGACCATGTGCCATGCCATACCTGCACATCGTGTACGTCCTGTGTGCCCACGTTGCCTGGCAGGGAGGCCACGCTGTCCTGGCCAAAGCCCAGCGAGCCGCGGTAATTCACTGCACGGGGAGCAGTGTCAGAGCCTTTCCTCCTTCGTGCCCCCAGCCCAGCCCCTCCATGGGTGCTGTGTCACCAGAGCCCTGGTGTCACTCACCCAGCAGCACGGCAAAGCCCACACGGCACAGCGCCGCCGGGTACAGCATCCACCCGGCCGTGAAGACAGAGTGAGGACCACCTGCAAATGGCCAAAGCAAAAGGGGGGTGACGCTGCCTGGCTGGGGTACAGTGGGGTGGGGACAAACTCTTACCATGGGGCATCACGACCAAGGGGGGCTTCTGGCCAGCGGGACCCTCGCTTGGGCGCATCAGGATGGCATCGAAGTCCAGGCCCCCTGTGGAGGCACAGAGGGGGTGTCAAGGAGCAGTGAGGATGGTGGAGCACAGCCTGACCCCACCTTGGGCACTCACCGTACTGGGGGTGCTCCTGCTCTGGTGGGGGCTGCAGGGTGCGGATGCCCCAGCTGATGCCAGGCACGGGGGGGGAAGCCTGCAGGCAGATCCACTGTGTCTGTGCCTCACGGCCGGCGGCGGGCAGCACTGCCACTTTCTGTGCAGGGACAGGGGTCAGTGCCCATGCCAAGGGGCTGGTGGGCACTGGGGAGAGGGGTCAGTGCCCATGCCAAGGGGCTGGTGGGCACTGGGGACATGACTTTACCAACATGGGGGGGCAGCTAGGGGTGGAAAACCTGGCCACCAAGAGGTCCCGGCTGATGGTGAGGACAGACCAGCTTCCCTGGGGAGAATCTGGGGAGGAGGGGGTCAGACCTGCAGGTGTGACCCTCTCCCCACTCCTGGCACCAGCATGGCCCCATTGCCCTCACTCACCAGCTGTCAGCGAAGTTGTGGTGCCTGTTGCTGTGTCCACCACGAACACGTCCTAGGGGCATGAGGGCAGAGCTCAGTGCAGCCCTGACCCAGGCAGGCTCCCCTTGTGTCCCCCAGCACCCCCTCACCTGCTGGCTGCGCTGGGCCGTGTCCAGCAGGATCCTGCGGCTGTCGGCCGCCCAGCACATCCCTGGCAGTGCGCCACAGTAGATTCCCGGGAAGGCACCTGTGATCAGAGTGCTAGTACTCAGCATCCCCCTGAGTCTCCCCCAACATGCCCAGAGCTGTACTCACCCCATGCTTGCCGTGGCACAGCCTCCAGCACCGTGCTGGTGTGTTTGGTGTACCAGTCATACTGCAGGAGACATGGCATAGGGCAAGTTTTGCAGGGTCTCAGCCTGCCTGCCCCCACTGCAGCCCAAGGAGGGGACACCACTGCCCTCCCCAGCCCCACCCTAGCATGGGCACCATGGCACCTTCTTGGTGCCTGCCAGTGTCCCCCTGGTGCTGCTCACCATGCGGAGTCGGCTGCACTGCTGGTGGGGGCCCAGGACATTGTTCTCCAGGTAGACGATGCGGCAGCCATCAGGGCTGAGTCGTGGTGACCACACGGCCTTGGCGTCCTCAGAGAGCAGCTCTGCATGGGCATGAGGGGACGGTGAGGGGACGGTGAGGGG